GAACCCGCGTCTCCTGCATCGGCAGGCGGACTCTCAAGCACTGCGCCACCGGGGAAGCCCCAAGATTAGAGTTTTTGTTTGCAAATTTCAAAATGATGTATGGGAATAGCAACATCTTTCCCACCAGAATAAAAACCCACTGAGTAGAAACTGAGAAGATAAATTTTTTAAGAAACACACACACGGGCTGAGACAGGACTGCTGTGCAGCCATTGCTTCTCAGATTGCCAGTAATGACTTTGGTGAATGTATAATCAACCTGCAGAACCTAAAGGGAACAGGGAGGTAAAAGCTTGGATGCCTCTGAAAAAGTGCACACTGTGTTATTTATTTTAAGGAAATATGTTAAGATGCTGCGATGTTCTTAAAGGAATAATGCTTGTACTTGGAAACCTGAGACGGCACTCCAACCTCTTCTCACCACACCCCCTCTCTTTCTTGTTTCTCCAAACAATAAAATGTCTCTTCTTTCAGCACTTTCTATCTTTAATGTCAGCTTCTTTCATCTCAGAATGCCAACCTACTTCAGAGACGTTATCTTAGTAATCCTCTTAAGAGAGAGGATTCCCAAGCTAGATATTCCCGAAATCCACAGGTTTTGCGAGTCTGCTAGGTGGGAAGGATAATTTCTTTGTACCTCTGTAGCATCTGTCTACACTGGGACTTCCAAATACTTTTCCAGATTATCTAATTATCCTTTTCAATGTTCCTTGGAGGGAGCCAGGCAGGAGGTAGTACTGATTCTGTTTTTTCAAGGAGCAGAGCTAATGTGCTGTTCCACAAGGTGACTTAGCCTGCAGCCGTATCCTCCGGAAAGGAGAAGACATGTATAATATTTCTTCTCTTGAGTTAAAGGTAGTGCAGCGGGGAGTGGCTTCACAAATACCTCTAGGTAAGTGCAGTTACATCTGAATCACTTCTCCTCTTAGCTAATTAGAGCAAACTTCCCAGTGTGTCCTGGTATGTTCCCTGGACTGGAACACCTTGTAAGAATTCCTGGAGAAAACCTTGGCCAGATAGTTTTGGAAAACACTACAAATGAGCTTTTTCCTTTTGACGAGTCAAAACACATGTTACCCTGATGAAGCCCTGCTAAAGGTATCTCATTTAACTTGGACACATGGAATCCGTTGCCTATGTAACAGCTGTTAACAGCCCGGGAAATAATATTTTGTGGAAGACATTTAAGAAACACCAGCCTAGACATTTTTCCCCCTCAAATCTCCTTACTCAGAAAACAGAACTAGAAAGAACCGATTGCATAATGATATAATTAGCTAATTATTATCAAGCACTTTTCCAAACACTGGCTTCTATTTTCCTGCCTTATGTATTATTGCATTTTATCGTCACAGCCTATCTGTGTGGTAAATAATATTATTATTCCCATTTGACAGAGGAGGAAACTAAGGTTCAGGGAGGTCCTCTGAATGCTGACATGGCACTGGGCTGTTCTCAGCTCCTGCTGTCACCTGTCTGCATACCTGCCCTTGATGAGTGCAGACAGTTTCAGGCTTTTAAATACCATCTTTAGGCTAATGATCTAAATCTGTATCTGCAGTCCTGACCACTCCCTGGGGGAGAAACTTGATCTACAGACTCATTGAAACTAAGACCTTCCCCCCCACCCCACCCCGGCACATTATTCCTCATCTGTTTCTACCCTTATTCAAAATACAGAATATTGGGGCACCCAGACCACCCGGAAGAAGGCTAACTGATCCTTTATAGGAATATAGCCCTGGACCTCAGGAGGCCCAGAACTTTGCCTAACTATCCTGCTCCTATAGCAGGCTCAAAAACATTGTCTGAGACAGTCCAAATGTTCTGCACGGGAATTCCTTCTGTCAACGACCCCATGAAACCCATGTTTGAAAAATATTTTGTCTAGCTAACAGATTGCACGTATTGAAAATGAAATTATTAATTTTCACTTTCCATGTCATCTAAGTTATTTGACGGATATATGCTGTTTAAGATACGTTCTCTACATGAGAATCATACAGGTGTTTTAAATCATTCCCGAACAAAGACAGGGTAAGCTGATGCTCTGGTATCTTTGTGTTGTTTTTTTTTTTAGGTTTTGTAAGTTTCTGAAAAACAGCTCTTGATCCCTAAGCTTTGCATTTCCACACAGAGGTTATCTCTTAAGACAATTCCCTTTTTCTAAGGGTATGCTAGAATCTGTACTGAAGGCCCTTCATGATTCATATCTTCACATATTGTGTCAGATTTCTATGAAGGTCTCCATCTGATTATGGGGTTAGGTGTTGTTTCCATAGTAATTAGAAGTCTCTGTCTTCAATTTGTATCATAGATCATAGACCCAGCAATTTCTGCACTGAAATCATCTTCAAAATCCAAGCCTGATATAAATAACAGAAAGCTACGAGCAGAAAGCTATATTGACTTACCTATGTTCTATCGTTATAATTAACAGTCTCCCCAAAAAACAACAACAAAAAAATCATACTAGTGGTAAGGTTTTTTGTTACAATGAAATATCTCCCCTGGGGCACTAATATTCTTTCAGGGCATTTCTTGTTCCTTTGATTTAACTTAAGCCAGTGAGCCAGGTTCTTCCCAAAAGGCAAATTAAGAAGGTCTGTTAACTCTTTCCATGTGCCCAGCTTCAAGAAATCTCAGCAAAGCCATTAATATTGTTTTGCCCTAGGCTTTATACTTTTTAAAAGTCAGCTGTCATTTTCGAAGCAATCCAAAATAGCACACTCAACCGAACCCTGGAGCTTTGGAAATGCTAATGCCCTCCATCAGCAATGACCTTGCCGCTGGGAGGTGATTTAGGCAGTGGGCAGAAAGGGGCGCACTAGCTTTATCACACTGGTTTACACCATCGGCTTCAGGAATTGTGTGAGAGAAGAATAATCAATAGTGTGTCAAGGCCAACCTCGAGGAATGCCAAGACAAAGTGCTCCCGCTTTGCAAAGTGCTGAGTGGAAGGAGAACTTTTGAATACAGCAAAGGAGAAATCAGCTGTAGTGGTAAAACTAAATGAATTGTGTCTCGGGATGGAATTTGTCATTGGGAATGGCACTCTGGAGCCCTTGCGTACTTCTGTGGAATCCCATAATATGCCTGATGAAAAACGCTTGTTTTGGAGTTAAGCAACACAGAGTCAGATAACGAAACCGGAAGGAATGCATTCCAAACACACACGTGTACCTTAAGAACTGGATGACATAGTCCCGAAAAGTTTACCGAAAGAAGTATCCAGGGTAGAATCATCTCCTGTGTAGAAACGGAAGAAACGCAAAGTTGAACTTCATCAAAACTTGCTGAAAATGGGGCTTCCTTGATGGCGCAGTGTTTGAGGGTCCGCTTGCCGATACAGGGGACATGGGTTCGTGCCCCGGTCCGGGGAGATCCCACATGCCGCGGAGCGGCTGGGCCCGTGAGCCATGGCCGCCGAGCCTGCGCGTCCGGAGCCTGTGCTCCGCAACGGGAGAGGCCGCAACAGTGAGAGGCCCAAGTACCGCAAAAAAAAAAAAAAAAAAAAAAATACTTCCTGAAAATGTTACTGGATTTCCTGTAATTCTGTCAAAGGGATTATCTCTTGATAACCAGCAGAGAGTGCGAAGCTTCTAAAACTGGCAAAGGAGGTATCCCCACACCACCCTGAGTACACTGTGGAAAAGAGCTAGCAGCTTGGTCCCTGAGATCATTACAATAGAATGTTTGATTTCCCATGGCAGCCCTAATTGTGACATGAACAGCTGTCAACAGCAAAATTAGAGGAAAATGTCATTATAGGGAAATTATCCACATTTGCTTGTCCTATTTCCACATCATTGCTCAAGAGAGTGTTTTCAAAGAATTCTTCTATTAGAGGTTTTCATTACTCAAAGAGGAGACACTCAAGTTATTGGCCTTATATGCTATACATGAAATACATTTGTTACAGTAACAAGAATCCCAAATGAATGTTTCTTGAATGCCAAATTCAAGTACATGAAAATATCTGGGACATAATTTCTTTAATCATCCTATGAGGTAACTATTACAATTCCTACTTTTAATACAGTCAATTCTCATTATTTGCATAGCTGTGTTCTATGAGTCGCCACAAACCCTGAATTAGCAAATACCGAACCGTTGCTCCTACTGGAAATACAGGGTTAGGCTCCTGCGAGCTTTTAGTCACGTCTTCATCAACCAGTCAATCCATAACCTTGTTTTAGGTGTGTGTCTCTCCTGAAAGACAACTTATCTGATACATATTGTTGATTCGTTAACATTGAACTCACAGCCAAGTGCACTGTAACTCATGCCTGAACTAAATTTATCTAACACACAGTTTTCTCCGAAAGGCACATCACAGCCTTAGGAACACTAGACAGCACTTTAGCCCTATGGCCGCGGGCTGTTTTAAACTGGGAAATCACCAAGTAAAACACAAAAGTATGGAAAAAATGTGGCACTAAATAGACCACCAAAGAGACATGCGTTTACAGCTTGAGAGCCGAAGCAAGAAGGCACAGCTTCTCCTTGTTGCAGCTGTGAACATGCACTTTGCCGCTCTCCCCATGTCTTCGGAAGCGTTTTGAGTATTGATTTGGGGATTACAAATTAATTTTAGTGAATACAATCTTCCCTCGGTATCTGCAGGTGATTAGTTCCAGGAGCCCCCGCAGATCTCAAAATCAAATTTGATCCGAGTTTGTTTAAATTTGCAGATGCGAAACCCATGGATACGGAGAGGGTCAACTGTAGGCAAATTCCCAAAAACGGAGTCTGTAAATAATGAGGATTGACTGTATACGTAGAAAATAAGAGTCAGGCCATAAGTCAGTCACTCTGTACCCGACAGAGTAATTCTGTTTCATTGGTGCTTGTATTTGTTTAAGTTTCAAGATCAGAGTCTTTTTGAAGGTAAGAGTTCCATGAAAAATGTGGAAGCCAGTGCACTGAGTGCTTTGGCGTCATAATCTTAGGAATAAACTCACTGTATAACTTTCGTAACCTTTCAATGGTTCTTCCAGGTCTTTCAGGGATGTGGCCAACCCAAACCTGCTCCAGCCCTCAGATCCGCTCGCTCAGCTCCCGAAAATTTTAATACACGGTTCAGGCCTTACAATCCTGAGGAAAGACCAACCACTGCTGCAGGGACGAGCTTGGACCGGCTGGTGAGTTCTCCCGTTGTGGCCACTTTCTGTTACCAGGGTTATTCTTCAGAAGACGTGATGGGATTCTGAAAAAGCTGGTGGTAGAAGTCATCTCATTCTTATATCTGATCCTGGTCTTAATTAGAATATTGAAAAGTAATGAGATCTTCCTTTTAGGTCGAGAATTAGATTATTTAAGAAGTCTTATCACTATTAATCCACTCATACAATGGCCAAATTTTCAACTCCATATTTCTTCTGAAATATTAATTTGGAGACTAAGTTCCTATATCTTCCAGAGATATAATTACAATAGCACATTTCTTATTCACCTGCTTCAGTTATTTATTCAGTTATGATACAATGTAACTTTATCATGAATGTTCCTTATATGTAAAGCTTCTGTTTGAAAAATCTTGCCAAGAGACCCCAAGTCAATACTACTACCATTTCTTTTTCTTTTTTATGTGTCTTTTAAAAGTTGGAATGCTTAGAAATAGTCACTCTTTGATCCATTTAAACGTGTGTCAGGGGACCAAACATCTATCATTGAAGCAATTTACTTGGAGATTACAACCATAAATATAGTAAACACAATTTTTAATGTGTTTCAAATGTCAAATTTTGCTATAAAAAATGAAAAGCTCATAATTTCAAAGAAATACTGCCCAATCGTTTTCAATACAATTTATAGCACTATAAACAATTTATATACCTGTAATTGTTAGTGCCGTTAATGTTGCTTCACCAATTATCTTGATGTAAGATTAACAAATAAAAACCTTAAGGTCATAAAACACTTGAACCACATCTGATTATGTCATATAAACTCAGATCTCAAGGGTTTCTGGTTATAAAAATATTTTTATTAGTCACTGTTATAAATTACTTTATCATTTTAGCTAATATCCTTCTACAGTATAGAACTCATAAGATTAAATTGGTAGCATTTGGCCTCATACTAAGTACATCTCAGCATTTCTCTCTATAAAAATCAAATGTGCTTACAACACAAAGACCTATCCACGAAGTGTCAAAGTGAAGGGGTAAGTGGAGTCATTAACTGCTAAATTGTTATAAACTTATTACTGTTCATTAGCAAATAAAACCCCCTCTTCGGTGTAGGTTTTGAAAAAGGGATCATTTGGGTAATTGCTTCAACCTTGCACTTTACCTTAGTTATATCTATTCTCTATTCACAATTTCGGGAAAAGTTTAAAATTAGTCACCTTTTTTCTTTTAAACAAACAATTAGATTCCACCAAACAACCAGCCAGTTGTAAAGAAATGGTGGTTTCATTAGATTCCATTGTTTGGATTTTTATTTTACAAATTCCTTTGTATGTCAAGATCCTTTTAACCAGAGCACAATTTGTGAGTAGGGGTTTGACCTCCGTCTCTCTCGCCCCTTTGTTATTTGTTTTTTGCTTTTCCTATTTCAGTTGGCTCTAACTTAGTTAATGAAACAATTCAGGCTTTTCAGAATTTTTATGAACTCTCATATCAGAACTGGGCACAATGCAAGGTGAATAAATTTTAGAGACCTGCTGTACAACCATTGTGCTGCAGATAGCAGTACTGTATCCGTTAAGAGGCTAGATCTCAGGTTAAATGTTCTTACCTCAGGAAAATAAAATTGGAAAACAAATGGGGTACATTATCCACTTAGTTAAAACTGCATTGATTTTGAACGCTATAATGACATCTATGACTACTAATTAATTTTTTTGCCTTTGAAACAGAAGCACAGTATTCTTTCCTACCAGGAGAAACACACACACACACGCACACACATGCGTGCGCACACACACACACACACACACTCACTCAAACAGGGGACGTAGAACAAGAAAAATACTTTTCTCAAGGCAACGGTATTTATACAATTCAGTACAGCTTGAATAAAACATCAGCACTTTGAGAATTTCACAGGATGTTTAAAATCTAGTAGATATGAAAATTGGTATTTGAATCTTTTATAAAGGAGCTTCGTTGGTCATCCTCAAAGTGCCCCAAATATAAGGGTCTTGAGGAATCTTGGCAAATAGGAAAGTGATTTATTTTACGCACCCCCAAGATACATTTAATCATTTTTTAAAAGAATTAGTAATGGTTAATCATATGATCACGAGAAAAGGACCAAACTCAAGGTACATAAGGACCAGAGTGAGTGCAGAAGAATTTAAATCAATAAGCCAATTTTATTCTAAAATATTCTCTGATGGCATAGGGTACTTCCTTGTAGGTGTGGCTTCAGGTTCTATAAGGGAGAATGGCAGTTTTGTTAATTTTTTTGTTCAATTAAATTCTTATTCCTTCCCAAATGGTAAGAATTAGCGATTTGTAATTCACAGCCAGTCATAAACCTACCTGGAGCTACTTTCCCAGCCCCTGAGACCAAGGGACTGTTTCCACGTAAAAAGGAGCTATACAGGGTTATTCTTGAGACACACGAGCTAATCCCCAAGCTAACATCAGAATCTCCATTTTGCGGCCGTTTGTTCCCCCAAATCTTTCGTCCCTTTGCAGGTTCAACATAGTTCTGAATAGTGGAAGGGTCGGAGCAGTTACCTTGGCCAGACAGTGCTGTGCAACAGTCAGATAAAATCATCTTCAAGATACACGCAAAGGTGATAGGTCCTGATGGGTCTGCCATATATCACTGCTTATTTGGAAAGTTTATGAACAAGTCTCAGGTTACCTACTCCTGTTTTAATTTTCCCCTGAAAAGATGTTTCCTGAATATTTATAAGAAGTATGTGTCCCAGAAAAGAAGGATAATTGGAAAAGACTTGCTTTAATTTCTCTCAGGGTTTCAGCAGAGAAAATGCTTCAAAAGATAGCATCCCAAAGACGATCCCAATCACCCCACCCCTTTTGCCAAACTGAAAATATCTTAGCTATAAAGCTCTCGGAGAGTTGCTTCTTACTACCATTTAAAATTAGTACCTGTGGCATTAACTTTGGGATCGGTTGGTAAATATTCTTATACCAGCTATTATAAAGCAATTTGTGTGAAGTGGTAGTTATGGGGTTTGTTTTAGAAATAAATCTCCTAATCCCAAACTAGGTAAACCACTGCTAAAACTTATATGAAGTAATTGAAAGCAAAACAAAACTGTCTCTTAAAAATATATCAGTTCCATCATTTAACCTCTTACTACATTTATAAGGAAGTTGTCAATTCTTTTATATCACTAGGAAACATTCCATGTGTTCCTTCAAAGTTATATGGGCATAAAAAACAGTTTCGGTGTAGCTTTCAGACATACTACCCTAAAGTTATTTTTATTATCCAATAATGCATGAATATACTTGTATAAATTCCGCTTCTGATGGAAAGCTGACTCCTCAGAGAATACTGAAGCCCTTCCTGCCAGCAGCTATGGTTTGTTCAAGAAATGAACAAATGCCATCAACTAACTTGGTTCACAAACTGGTCCCATCATCATCTGTCTCTTCCTGTCACCAACACTCACCCTAGCAGCCGTCCTGTCCCAGCCCACTGTTACTGATTTGCAATTAAATAGACCAGAGGTGGTTATTTGAAATCAGGAAGAGATTGGTTCTCTTCCTTTTTTCTTAAATTTATACCCTGTGAATTCTCTTAAATAATGTGATGTGAAACAGTGATTTCTTTAAAGAAAATTCCACTAGAACTTCACAGAGAGTATAGTGTGTAAAAACAAATCAACACAAAGTAGCTTGATTTTAAGATCTGAGCATACCACCATGTTGGTTAGTTGTACAGCTCAGAATATTACAACACAACATGCTGTACAGCTCCTGGACACACTTGGGCAGGGAGTGTCTGTTATTTTACTCCTGCTGATTCGTTCGAGCAAAAATATACTGTAAATTATGTGTCTTAGAGAAATATATTTTCTTAAAGTAGATTAAAAAAAACCCTAGGCTTGGAAGTTAATTCATCAAGTTGGCAGTGAGTTAGACCAATGAATCTCCAGTAAGTATTCAACATCATACCATGTGTGTGCAGACTCTAAAATATTCTACTGCTCATTCGGAGGGAGTCGGGGGTGGGGAAGGGTGGAATGCCAGTCTGCAACGCTAAACGTTATACCTGTGCTGTGCTGTGCTATTATATATAGAATAATCTCTCTTTCTTTTTCCTTTGAATTTGTTTTCCTCTTGCTTCCCAGAGGATTGTGTGGAGGACAATGCAACATAGTGTAAGCTTGGTGTTCTTCTCATCCCCATTTGTCTTTGTATGGTCATTCCGGAGAGTTTCTGAGAAATCCCACCTCCACTTCCTCCTTCCAGATTGCCTAGAGAGAGAACACTGAACACTGTACATGACCAGCAGGTTTAAGAATGTCCTCTCTGCTTGGTGTTTACGGTTAACAACCACTTGGTAATTCTTCCTCAATGGCAAGGTTTTCAATCTCAGCTTTGAGGAAGACTAGCGCATCTGGTGGCTGATTTGAATTCTATCCCAATGTTCAGCCTATGTATAGTCTGCCTGAAAAACTTGCTCTTCCCTGATAGAATATATTGGCTTTTTTCTTCTGTGCTGAGTGAATAATTACCTCCCTAATAATGACAACAAACCAACAGCAGCTCTCATGCATAAGGAGCTAATTTTTCCACTAGCTGGGACATAGAGAATTTAGGGGGGTAAGAAATAGTTTGTGGTATAGCTTGTTTACTCTTCGTTTTCCTACTTGAATTTACTGATATCTTATAGAGCATTTAGGGAGAAAGCATTGTATATTTTTTACTACAAAGCGGTTTGTACTGGGGATGAGGATAGGCACACCCAGGTTATCCTACCTGACTTTAACTTACATATTAACTGTAATCAATTACATATTAACTGTAATAAACAGACAGTTAAGTTATCCAGTGGTTTTCATAATACCACTCTGTGCTGGTACTACCACTGCATAAAGACCTGAACCCTCCATAGCATCATGGACCCAGAAGAGAAGATGCCTCTCACCTGCTGAGCGCATTCATTCATGTAGCACACCTATGACGTCATGGTGCTACATGTCTGCCTG